TCATACTTGTCCTGCTACTTTTGCTCGAGTGTATGCGTGTGTGTGTTAGCGTCTATAGGCAATACCGGTCCTAAATCAGAGTGATAAAAAGATTAAAGTTAGGCTCTGATCATTAACTCCTAATGACCTCAAAGAAAGCCCTGACCGAGACTGCGTACGTTCGTAAGCAAGTATGATTGAGATAATGAGATATGAGTTTGTAAGCATGTAAGTCAAGTTACGAAACCACTTTTTCTAACCTCTCGATCTAGAGTCATTAAGGTTTAACCCTCTAAGGAAAGGCATGACTGGGGCTGCGTAATTTGGCACGTCTGGTTTGGTTGATGAGCTTAATCTAACATATTGGACGAGTGTGAGGAAGTTAGAACCATCACCGAGCAGACAAATTGAGTCGCCTTCTTTTTGACCGCGGCTCAACACCCTCTCTCTCAAATAGTACTATCACCGATTTCTTGTCATTAGTCTTTTCGCTACACTACAACCAAGAAAACTATATCCTGGCAAGTTAATATAATTAGATTTTTAAAAATTTGTATTTTTCATAATGTTGTTCCTAGGTGTTGTTTACTCGGTAGGAGCAGAGCTGTTACAAGAAGATTGGTCAAGTGGATTAACTTCATTTGTCACTTTGCTAGGTTGTAAGTCTGCACTAACTATGGTGCCTCTTACTGACGATGGTGGCTACGATGCTGGCAAACGTCCTCTAATGTCAAAAGTCCGATACTGGAAATCATGAATTCTATGGCATAGGACGCAAAACTAGTTACGTTCCACCAGGTCTCCCTGTCGCCTCGCCCATGTTGTGAATACTAGGCCAAACCATCACTATACAGCTAAAGGAGACTGATCAAGCAATAACCACACTATCTTTATCTTCATATCTATGTATCATAACTTTGTAGCTCGGCTGTGCGTTATTGAGGGAAGACAAGGAAGCTTTCGCTATCGTTCGTGTATCTTCTGATGAAGTCCGCGATCTTGATTTTGCTAATGATGCTACTAGGGTGCTATCCTCAATGGCTCATAAAATTGAGCATGGTGAATTGACCCACGCTCATAAGAAGTAAGTTGCCTTGTTTCCATTTATGAACCCTTGTGTGTGACAAGCATAACATTTACATGATTTTATGGAGGAATTTTCATTTATTTCTTAAGCGGTCAGACAAGTATAGCACATCACAAAGCAAAGATAAAATGTAATCATATAAGAGCTTTATTACGTGTAAGGTAATGAAGGAATGGTAATTGAATAATAATATTAGTAGGGTTCACATTTTAAATTAATTTCACATGTCATTGCTTACTAAAGATATTCTAATCCAGGGTGGACTGTAATTTTTGCCTCGCCTAGGTTTCATCACCTTCCCTAGTGGGACCCAAGCCCAGGTAATGTAGCCTATAATCTCGATTCCTTAACGACTACGCCACTGCAAGACCTCTAATGTTGGGTCAGACATGACTTTCAAGGACGGCTAGTCCTTCCTTATATCACATTTCTTTAGTGTGATTGTCGATGCAGCATAGTTTTATTTGCTATTACAATCGACTACTTTACTTTATAAGTAGGATTTTCTAAACTACCAGTAGATATATATCCACCCTATTAAATTTTAGTGATAAATTTTCCCTCAATGACATGAGTAGATCTCACTTTTTCTGTGAAATTTACATAGCCTTTTAATAACAAATACGACTGGTTCATCGAACCCCACTGAAATATGACATGAGATTCGCGCCTGATCTTTAACCTAAGGTTAGCTTATCAAAAGTATTAGCTGCGTTACTCGGGTTCGAGTCCTTTCAGAATTGATGATGAGACCTCTGTGTAGAAAAAAATGCAGTCCATCCTGGATGAGAGTGCCCATTGATAAGCAGGGATATGCAAATTCCAAAGGAAACGTGATGCCTAATCATAAATTGTTCGCATGCGTACACATGTATTTTGATGACTCATTTTCGGTTACGAAATCAAGTAACCTATCTTGTTACTCCTTATGACTTGAAATAGGATGCATTTGTCAAAGTATTTTACTTATATCAATTTGGTGTCATTCTTCAATTATATTTTAGTTTCCAGTTTATAAAAATGTCCACGTTTTTAATATTTACATTCATTAATAATCTATTTAGCCTTAATAACATGTAAAACTTCAAACTGATAATCATGGTGGATCATGAAATAAGCTGGGTCGCCTAGAAGAGGTGTCCTATTGCTTTGCCTAATTTTATTATATTTTTAAACTTTGCTTAGTTGTATGCAAGTAGTCTGACCTCCTTTTCGCAACTTGGTTGTTTCATTTGGAAGACCTAGATAGATTCATCTTGTCCGAGGTCCTATTATAAAAAGGACCTCGAAGGTAGACTGTTACCAACACCTTGGTCTTCATATTTTTGCTAGCTTATTTGTATTTACGTAAACTACCAGCTTATCAGAGCTTCTAAGGAGCTTTCATTTTAGTTTGGTATAATCTATGTTTTTTTCTCATTTAAGGTTAAATTACTTTTTATCGAGATTTATTTTGTTTGCCATTTTAAACCCCCTATACATGCCTTTACATGTAAACAATTAAAGAATTATTCAGTTTTTCGAAATTTATTTATTATTGTATTTTAGATGCCTAGTTTTTGGCTTTTGCTGAACGACTTAAGGGGAAAATGATACTTCATAATTATGATTTATTTCAAGTGACTGTATTGCCTAATTTAAATATCTTTAAGCATATGTGTGTTTGTTCTCTACCATTTTATCAAAAACTTCCCGCAAATTAATAATCATAAACTATATAGTATACATTAAATCTATTTTTAATATTTAACCATTATAACTTCTTTAACTTTAGTCCTTTATTTAAGCACATTTTATTCTTGCTAATATTTTATTCTCATAGATCCTTAGTGTCATTGTTGGGGGAAATCATCTTCTTTCTTATCGATGTGCCAAATACGGCTGATGACCCTCTGCAATATGATGTCGGAAGTGATTTGCCTTCTAGAGCTAGGCAAAAATTGCTTCGAGAGCAGGAAATAATTGATCAGGTAGGTCAAGATTACGCCTTTTAAATGAAAATTCACACACGCTTCATCATAGTAAATGTTTATTGAAGTTCCCCTTTAGTACAACTTGTTCAACATTAAATTAAAACTTGAGCTTATTTCATTAATTTTGTGTTTTTTTCATGTTTATTTTTAGCTTATTAATAATTATTTTTGGTCGCATTGAAGTTATAAAAAAATATAAATCAAAATTTTACCTGAAAGCGCCTTCGATCTTTTTGTCACTGCGTCCCTATCACAATATTCTCTATAAAATTCTCTAAAAGAGAAAATTTTATTTTATCTTTATAAATTATCCTCTTTTCCCAATTAGTAAAATAGGATTGTGGCCGTTCTTGTCTTCCTGGTTTGCTGTTTTACGGTAAAAGATGGTTCTCTACTCTGATAATTTTTGTCGCCTGATAAACGAGTATTCAAGTGGTCAAATGGTGATGGACTTATTCGTAAAAATCTAGTCACAGCTTTAAGGCACTCATCCTTCAGCTATCGATGAGGTAAAGATACAAACCCTTCTACTTTGCTTCTCAGACGAACTGAAATGTATGCAAGCATCGTCTCAGGGATTCTTCAAAACCTAGCTTTTTTACAGTCCATAATACACATATTATTGATCGAAGATATGAAGACCAAGATGGTGTGTGTGTGGTCGCAGTCTCCTTTCGTTGTATAGAAGTTGTTTGACCTTGTTTTCGCAACTTGGTCATAATGG